GCTGTCCAACAATATGGTCATTTGTGTCTGTGACATATTCCCCCCTACTACTAATAATAATAACATTTATATAGCACTTACTATGTGCCAGGTGCTGTGTGCTTTATAATTATTATTTTATTTGATCCTCACAACAACCCTGGGAGGTAAGTGCCATTATTATCCCCATTTTACAGATGAGGAAATTGAGGTTAAGTGAATTGCCCAGGATCACATTGTCTGAGGTTGATTTGAACTCAGCTCTTTCTTTCTTTCTTTCTTTCTTTCTTTTTTTTGGTGAGGGCAATTGGGGTTAAGTGACTTGCCCAGAGTCACACAGCTAGTGAGTGTTATATATCTGAGGCCGGATTTGAACTCAGGTCCTCCTGACTTCAGGGTTGGTGCTCTATCCACTGCGCCACCTAGCTTCTTGTACAAAGGAACACAGTGGGGTGGATTTGGAGGCAGAGGACAGCTCCACTGATGTGACCTTGGGCAAGTTATTTTACTTGTCCAGACTTCGATGTTTTCATCTATAAATCGATGCAGTTGGATTTGATGAACGCTAGTCCCCCATCCAATGCTAACCCTTCCCATGAGGGCAGGAACCCCAACTCCCTTATCTAAGATTAGCACCTTCCATCTACCACTGCACTATGGTTGGTATACAGCAAGTGATTAATGTTTGTTGGACTAAAAAGATAAACACCAGCTTCCCTGCCTAGCTCCAGCACCTCAAGATGCCCTGAAGGGGGAAAGAATGCATGACAAGGTTACATTAAGAGCATGACTCCTAACTTCATTTTCATTCTGAAGTCATCGGTGTAATTTAATCAGTGACAAAAGCCATGCTAGCTAGATGCCTTGATTACTGCTGCTCACACAGACTAGCCTTACCCATCCCCTGCTGAGGACATCAGAGTCGTTGAACACGGATGCAGCACTCTCCCAAGCTATGAAGTGAAAGTGGGAAGGTAACAGCTGGCCTTCTCCCCTCCTCCCACCTTCGAGAAGGACTCCCAGACAACCATGGACATATGCACTGCACTTTTAGAAGGAGGTCATCCTTCGCCAGAGGTGAAGGCCTCATGCACATAACACTTACTAGCTGTGTGGCCCTGGGCAAGTCACTTAACCCCATTGCCTAGCAGAAAGAAACAAAAAACAGCAAAGATTCTGGATCTCCTTTTCTAATTGGTTGACTTTCTTTTCATAATCTTGTTTTTCTTGTATGTATTCTTATTTATTTTCTTGTATTTATTCTTTTTTATTCTTATTTTTCTTCTTTTCTCAGTCTCTCTCATTTGATTTTTAAAGTCTTTTTTAAGTTCTTCGACGAGTTCTTTTTGGGCAGGTAACCATTTGACATTACTCTTTGGGGTAGAAGAGGGTTTCTTGGTTTCAGTATCCTCTGAAGATGAACCCTGATCTTTCCTATTCCCATAATAGCTCTCTATGGTTGGATTCTTTCTCCTTTGCCTGTGTGTTTTTTTGTAATAATTGTAATTTGTAATAATTTAGTTTTAGTTTTTATAATCATCTCTAGTCCTGGGGTATAAGGGATGGTATCTCTAATCCTCTTCAGTTCACCCTTCTGATCTTGAACTTAAACCAGGACCTCCTGTAAGTGCCCACAGCAGAGGCGTCCCCACCCCACTGCTTTTACCCTCACTGCATCTCCACAGCACAGCTGAGTCTGACATTCCAGTCAGCAAAGGTTCCCTCGGGTCTTCTCCAGGTCAGATGCCCAACTCCCCTCACTGTCCTCAGGGTAAAAGTGTGGGTGGGGGGGAGGCAGCCTCCCAAATCAGCTAACCCCAGGGCTTGCCGCTTGCTGCCCTAGCCTGGAGGGCTTCCTTCACAGGAAGGAAATCTTGTCCAGAATTTTTCTTCAGATCTTCTCCAATTGTCCCAGGAGGACCCCTCTTCTGATCCTACTCTTATTTGTTTTCACGGCTCTATGCTATTTTATCTCTTTTGTGGAGGAAAATCTTGAGAGCTTGAAATTTTCTGACCTACTCCACCATCTTGCCATCTTCCCAGAATCCTCTCTGCCATCACCTATTTCTTTAATGAAATCCTTTATTGTACTTCTTTATGATGGTTCCTTATCTGTGCTGGTCTGCCCATGTCCACCATGCACCACCTCCTATTGGCTCCTTTAGTAATACCCATTTTTTTTTACTCTTTGGAAGCTGTGCCATCCCATGACATTTCTATAACAATCTTATTTAAACCTCACAACTCAGTAAGGCAGGTACTAATTGTTTCTACTTTATAAGGAAAAGATCAGAGAGGCTTTAAACTTTGGCCACCAAAGTGTCCAGTGGTAAGATTTTACATTAGACTACCTCTAACAATACAACATGGGCAGGCTGAGTGTTGCAATATTAGCAACAGGCATAAAAACTTGGAGGCAGAATTCTAGCACCTTTATAGCTCCTTTATGAAGGATTTATAGGAGGGCATTCATAAAAAAAAAAAAGGCACAGGCCAACAAGGCATGGATGGTTTACAATCTGTACCACTAGGGAGCATATATACACCCCAGGGAAATCAGATTCACTTTAGTATCAAAATTACCTGAAGTCATATCTAATTTGAGGCAAGCAAACTAGGGCCCAGGGCAGGTTACAGGGTCATTTCAGCAGTCTTTATGATAAGATACTTTTCATTGTAGTCAACTAAAAAAAAAACAAAAAAAACACAGTTACTACCAAATTGTTTCACTGAGAAATAATTCACCCATGTTATTCAATCTGTATACTTGGAAGAAATCTAGAACTGTTCAGCTACTCCCTCCACCAGCAAAGACTCCAACCCTCCCTTTCTCATCCTACGTGATTCTCCTGTATTCTTCAGTATATTCTTTATCTGGGAGTTACTAAAACACTTAATGCGATCGTGGAAACCAGCGTAATACCGAAGCTATTCAAACTGTTTTCTCTTGGCCGCGAGGCATGACCAACCCACCTCATTTTGGAGCTATGCACATTCTTGGCAAATTCACATTTATGCCACTTCTTGGACACGTCAGAGGTCATAATAGCACGCAACCACTTAGGTCTTCCCATTGACATCTGAAATGCCTGCAACTGACTCTTCTGAGAATGTGCTTTCTTCCTCCAAGTCTTTCTGGGTCCAGGTCACCATTCACCTGTTGTACCTGTCTGTCCAAGACACGTGTACTCACAGACTACTCAAACGGGCTACCATCTTCTAGCACATCACAAAGCCATATGCACTCTTCATCCACTTGTTTTTTCTATGTATGAAAAGCGATGCCCATCTTTTCTTAGATCTCACTAAAAAGGCCCTATATTCTGGGGCATGATGCAAATGTTGAGTAGCATATGAAAACACAGTCATCTGGAGAATGTTGCCACCTATGGGGAATCCCTCTTCTGTTTGAATTTTACAAAGGACATCTCCACAAGGGAACACCTCTGGCAGATGTTTCCCTGGTTCACCAAGCAGCATAGCTCAAGCTTTGTAGGTCTCACCAAGCTGGAAAGGACAAACTACCAATCTGTCCCCTAATCTCAGACTGAAGAAGCTCACTCCTCTTGGTCACAGAACAATTAGTTTTTTAGTGATAAATTCCCAAAGAACATCAGCAGTCTGTGGTCCTAAGGTGTCTAAGTGGGGAATGACCAACTAATGCAGTCACACATAGATCACTGAAATGCTGTAAGAAATTGGTATCGATCATCAGAGAAACGTTAAGCAAGATTCTATTTATAGCAAGGAATCTTACGTGAGTTTTAATTACAGGTAGGAAACATCCAGTCTTTAATCTTGTTAATTAATTTGGTTAATCTGGTTTCAATCTGGTTACCAAATCAAATTTTTTTTTCTGTAATTAACTATCAAAAGGTATTTCTTATCAATCTAATTTTATTATCAAATGGAAACAATGGAGTAAAGAAGTTTGTAGCTGAGACATTCACTGAAAATAAAATCAGGACACACACAGAAGGAAAGAACAAACTTAAAAATCTGGGCAAGTTGCCCTGATTCCCCTGAGGACAAAAAGACAGGAGTTCAAAAGAAGATAAAAGTGAGCAAACAGAGGAGTACTGACAGCCAAGAACAACATCCCGAAGCGATCCACCCAACCAGGAAGAGAAGAGAACATCTCAGTGAAGGCCCACATGACCAGGAGCACCTGCCACCCACCATCTCCTAAGCCTGTTTTGCCAACCATAGAGGAACAATGCCATGGGTCAGGCGAACGACCTGTCACAGGGAGAGGTAGGAGGGAGTGTATGAGAATCTAGTGGGTGATTTCGGACCTGATGCAGTTCAGTGGCAGATTAAAAGTCATCTGGAGAATGTTGGCACCAATGGAGAATCTCTTCCGTCTGAATTTTGCAAAGGACATCTCCATGATAGTGAGTTAACATCCAGCAAATCTACGTCTCCCTGTTCTATGCTCTGGTATTAAATTCATGGTTCAGTTATTACCTATTAATAACTGAACTTGGTTAACTTAGTTCAGTTATTATCTGTTAAGGTACTAAGTTCTGACCAATAACATTTTACCATTGATTCTATATGGCAAAACGTGGATCACTGACTGAATGACAAAAAATGAGTGTCACACACAGAAATGGAGAGGCTTATGGTGTGAGTGGGACGCAACACTAAACCAATGAAGAAAAAGAAGAAGAACAAGAATGCAGGTTGCCACGAAACAATTGTCTAAGAGGAAGAAGAGATGGACTGGTCCTATCGGAAGATTGAGGGAGGATACGTGGACAGAGTGCTCCACTGCAACCCTGGAGATGCTGAGAAAAAATAAGGAAGGTCTCCAGTCAGCAAGCATTTATTAAGTACCTACCATGTTCGAGCACGTTGGATGAATGCCCCAGGCCAAACTTTGGGAAGGACAAGGACAAAAGCCACCCAGGTTCATGGGCAGTCACAGATACAATTGGCATCATTGGAGGGAGCTCCCAAATCAGTGAGGCCCCAGATCCATTCACATATGTGAGCATGCAGGAAATGGTATAAAAAGCTTATGAACAAAAACACAAATGCCTCTTTAATGAAAAGGACCAACACTCCTCCCCAAAAGATGTCAAATATTTTGCAAAACAAAAACGGAGGCCCCTAATCCAAACAGAAGGATCCTTACAGACTGCATATTGACTGAGTTTTAAAACATTGTTATCTATGACTGCATTTTTAATTATTTTGTTAAATATTTCCCAATCACGTTTTAATCTGGTTCTGGCCACACTTGGAAGGTTGTGGGACATGTTTTAACACCTCTATTCTAAAGTACTGGTTTGGGGGGCTTTGGTTTGGGAAGAGCTAAAGGGGGCAGAGGCTGGTGTGGCATGAGTCTTCCAAGGATCTAAGTCAAAAAACAAAGCTCATCAGGGAGAGGGGGGGCTGTGCGAAGTAGGCCAGAGGACAATCCAGGCAAGCTCTAGAGAGGGGAAAAGACTGGAAGACATGAGGGGAAAAATAAGCTCAAAGGTAAATTTGGAAATGTGAACAACATAACAGATATTACAATGTATCCATTTTTCCCTAAGATATTTATAAAATTTAAAAGTGACATAAGGTAAGTGTAACTAGGCTTCCATGTATCCAACAGAAACTTTCCCCAAAAGCTTAAATCCATCGATAGCTTTATTTCCTTTGTGACATGCAGGTAAGCACTCAATTCCGCTCAATTTTTTTTAGGTTTCAAACCTTTCCTGTTTTCAAACGGCCTAACATTTTACAGTGACAAAAAATTCTCGAGCAGGAAGGGATCTCGGAGACCTCCTTGTCCAAGCTTTCATTTTCCAGATGAGGAAGCAAAGTCCATTGCACGGTTCATCCGTCAGGCCATCATCGACGCCCCTTCTCCCCCAGTGGCATCTTCAGAGATGTGAAGGTCCTCGAGCATCTCCGCCAGGCTAATTCGAGGGGCTCCCTCATCATCCGTATCACTCTCCACAGGGACCGTCGAGGCTGAGAAACCACATGGCCGAGGTGAGGAGCGCAGACAAGGAGAAAAGAGAGAACGATTACAGCCTCGTTTCCATGCACTGTCAACTCCAAAACCCAACACTGCCCATGCCCGCTGTCTCAGGAGCAGACAACCATGACTCCTCGGAGAACTGATCCCCTCTCCCCCTACACTGCTCACACCCCACCCCCAATGGCGATGCTTAGCAAAGAACCTGAAGGGGCAGCTAGGTGGCGCAGTGAATAGAGCTCTGGCCTTGGAGTCAGAAGGACCTGAGTTCAAATCCAACCTCAGACACTTAACACACTTACTAGCTGTGTGACCCTGGGCAAATCACTTAACCCCAACTGCCTCGCCAAAAAAAAAAAAAAACCTGAAGAGCTCTGGTTTTACACCTGAGGCCTATGGGATGCCACCACTGGCATCTACAACAACCAAGAACCCGAGCAGCCAAGCAAGTTGCTCAGACCGCCAAAACAGAGACCTAAAGCTTGGAGGAACATGTTGGGACCTACATGGCCTTCAAACACGTGCAAACCAGACCTATTTGGAGTTCCACTGTTCTTCAAATACATTTATGGAATGCAAGAATTAACTACAACTACTTTGGGGTAATGAAATTTAAAAGGTGAAGGCCCATGGAGTGCCTATCACCTAGGAAACAGCTGAATAAAGGATGGTATGTGAATACGATGCAATACTTTTGTACTGTAAGAAAAGAGGAAGGGGATGGTCTCAGAGAAACCTGGGAAGACTTGTAAGAACTGACACACCGCGCAATGAGCAGAACCAGAACAATATATATAGTACCGCTAACATTGTAAAAATGAACAATTTTGAAAGGTTTAAAGAGCTCTGGTCACCATAATGATCAAACATAACTCCAGAGGATTGCTGACGAAGCCTCTCAAGAGAGAGATGGTGGACTCCAGGTGCAGACTGGGACACAAACTTTTAGGATATAGCCAAGATGGGAATTTGTTTTGCTTGATTATACATGTTTTAAAGTTGTTGGGGGGTTTTCCCCCAGGAAGGGGCAAGGGAGAAATGGGAGAAAAAAAATAAATGCTAGACAATTAAAAAAAACTAATTTACCACAAAGGTGACAACCCAATCAAATGCTACAAACAGGTAGTTCCAAAGAGACAACATAACTTTTCAATTGACTTAGATTCTAACCTTTATAAATGTTGACATTCTTTCTGATTGCCTCATCTTCTTCCAGATCTTCCAGAAAGTCCTGGTATTGCCTATAGGAGAATATTTTCAGAGCTTAATAGAACAGAGTCCAACTTTGGCCCAAAACTACAATTATTCTAAGCACAGAGAATAGAAGACATTCTGAAACCAAGGGGTAGGCAATGGTGAAACCTTAGGAAAAAGATTTCAAGGTTGAAAAGTAAAACGTTAATAAAACATGAAGCAGTATTTTTAAAGGATCACATTTTACTTTCACTTTCAAATTACCAATAAATATGTGTAAAAAGAGTCAGAGGGTCAAGGGAAAAAGAAAGGCAGATCCATTTCTTTACGGCACATTCCTCTACCAATGTCCTGAGCTGACGCCTCATCACCACTTCATCTATAAAACAGGGATAATAACAGCACCTACCTCCCAGGGTTGTGGTGAGGATAAAATGAGAGAATAAATGCACAGCACTTCCCAAAGCTGAGAGCAATCTATAAATGCTCCCTACTGTGGTGGCGAGGTGACCCTAAGCTTGTCAAAGTTATGCCAGCAGATCACAAGCTCTGGGAGGTTATCAAACTAGAGAGACTGCGTGAGAATCCTGCCATGGGCTGGGAATCAACCAACTACGTTTGAAGAGGTTTCCCACCAGGCTGCTTATCAGCCACCCAGTACAATAATTCCCCATAAATCATGCCCAAGAGCAGCCCACCAAGGTGCAGAGTGGCTGGGTGGAGGGAACATCCAGAGAGAGGAAATGGTAGATATTTCAAAGTGATGAAGTATTATTCCTATTATAATATTTAGTTACTTCTTCTTTAAAATGGC